TGGCCATTTTTTGGTTGCAGCCATCATTGTTGTTTGGCGGGCCCGGGCTGGGGATTCGAACCCGCCACCTTAGGTGTATGTGGCTGGCACCTTAGCAGCTTGAGCCACAGGCGCCAAGCCAACAACACCAATTTTCTTTGGGGAAATCCACTTTCCCATGTGCTCAGACAATGTAGTCCTGGTAGGACTTACCCCACTCCACCTGGGAGAAGGGTTCTTACTCAGGCCTAGCTAATTCATCACTCACAGCTGACATTACAGGAATTAGGCACTCTTTTCCCACAGGGTGGTTAAGTAGTATAGTGGTTTTGCTATTCCTCCTTTCAGAAGATGAAGTCTTTTGTACTTAGTAACACTAACAAATACAATGTGGTATAAGTAGCAGTTTTAGAATTTCAAAACTAGGTCCTAAAAGGTATCATGGTGGAAACTTTTCCTCTGAGATCACTTGCTCTGAAAGAAGACAATTACCATTTGAGAACACAGGCCCTATGAAAGGCCTATGAAGCCTGGAAATAGGGACTCCTACCAACAGTCAGAAAAGACCCAAGTCTCCAGACATGAGCCATCTTGGAATCAGATTCTCCAGGTCCAATCAAGCTTACAAGATGACTATAAGGCCATGAGAAAGTATGAGCCATAATCATCTAGATAAGTCACTGGTGAATTCCTGATCCACAAAAACTGTTAGACAATAAATGTATGTTGTTTCAATACATTAAACTTTGTGTTAATTTGTTACAAGCAGATTACTACAAGACAGCAGAATGGAAGTAGAACCCTGAGAAAAAGGCCAACACAGAAACAGGGTAGAGAGAAGGTATATGAAAGGGTGAAGAACTAATAAGACATCCCTTTTGTGATGAATGTGTTACTTAGTTCAATGTAAGCATTCCACATTGTATATCGAAGCAGTACCCTGAACCCTATAAATGCATCCATGTACAAGGTTATGATTTAATAAAAAAAATAATTAATAAGACATCCCTTACCATTTCTGAACCCTGATGATTTCATCTGAGTTTCAGACTCCATCTTATTCCTGATTCTCTCAACTTGCCAGTATGAAAACCAGTGGAATCCCTCTATAGATTGAATTAGTTTTAATGAATTCTTGATACTTGAAGCCAAAAGCATCCCAACCAGTGCAACAAGGACTCAGAGAATTGGTAAGTTGCCCAAATGTCCCCTTGAAGCCTGGGTCATTTCCATTGCTTCCCCCTTTCCTGTTTACATGCTCCATATTTTAACCATCTAATTTATTATGTTACCTGCAGCAGAATTGCTCTTTGAGGACAGGAATTTTTTCTGTTTTGTTGTGTACGATTACCTTTAGCACCTAGAAGACTGGAAGGCCTGGCACGGAACAAACACTCAGGAATGTTCGTTGAGTTCATCTAAGCTGTTCTAACTGAGACTCACTGTGAAATTGCAATGACAGAAGTGGTGTGATTTGGTGTTGGTAGTAGAAAGACATTAATGGCCAGTACATGAAAGTGAGTACATCACTCAAGCTCCTCAGCTCAAATCGCGAGGTTATTTAGAACCCACAAGTAATTGAACCTGCCTATTCTGCTACCATATCAGTCTGTTAAAGGCAAACTCTCTCATTCATTCAACTTATGGAAGAGTTAGGTACCCTTCCACAGACTCTTTTCTTCCCTTTTAAACGCTGCCTTGCTTTTTGTTCTGCAAGACAGGCTGTACGTGAGTGATCTCTCTACATATGTGTAAATAGCAGCTGAGCTATGGGTTCTCTGCCAGTTTGTCTTACTGATTTGCTTACAATGTCCTGATAATAGAATACTAATACTTGACCCTTGTTAAGAGACTTCTCATCGGCTCAGCGCCTGTGGCTCAAGCGGCTAAGGCGCCAGCCACATACACCTAAGGTGGCGGGTTCGAATCCCCAGCCTG